AAGATCCATTTTTGCACATTATTTAGCTATTTCAAATAAAGATACGAAATTGAAGGTTGTGTCTCAGTGGGGTCATCTGGGTCACACAACAAATTTGAATTTTTTCCCCTTTCCTTCTCTCTCCCCTCATTATTAAAGTTAATACTAATATAGTTTTTTTTTTTTTTTAATGTTTATTGGACAACGTTCACTTTCCAAAGCCACAAACTTTCTGCTACATCTCTCTTTACAGTCTAATTGAAATTCAAATCTTCTTAAACTCCTTGTCTCTCTTATTGGGTACCCCTGTTCCTTCCATTTCTTCAAATTCTAACTTTCTCTTTGTCATTTACCACCCTTTCTCTAGCCCCAATGGGTGCATGCTTGAGCAAGAAGAAGGGGTCCTCCTCTAGTTCATCCAAGTCAGTTTCTCATTCTGAGAACTGTGTCAGTGTCACCATGTCCAAATCCACTGAGCCAGAAGAGAGCCTCAAGAAGAAGACACTTCAAGAGAAACAAGACCCAGAATCAGCATTACAAGATGAAGGTGTAAAGAAAGAGGTATTCATCGTCAAACACCGGAAGAGCCATGATGATAGGGAAACAACAACCTCCAAATCCCCACCTTTCATTGCTCAGTCACCAGCACCACAACGAGGTGATGGGGCTTTCACCAATGATGAATCAAAGGCTAACAAGATTGCACCTTCCACTCCAAACGTTGGTGTGGGAGTGAGGACGTCAAGCTGCACCAAAGAAGAGGTGGATGCAATTCTGATCCAGTGTGGGAGGCTCAGCAGAAGCAGCTCTTGTAGAAAGTACTCAGGCTCTAAGAGAAGTTTTGATTTTGATAACTGTGAGAATGACACAACTTCTGCTGAGGATGACCAAAGGAGAGCCAAAGGCAGTGGCAGTGAGGAGAATGATGTGGCGACGGAGAGCCGCCGCCACCGCCAGTCCCCGAAGCGTTCTCAGGGAAGGAGAAGAACCCCAAGTAGGGAAAGAGACCAATCCAGTGGCAGAGAAAGAAGAGTGAGTAGATCTCCTGGTAGAAGATCATCTGACACTACTGCAAATGCAAGCAACAACAATGCAAGTTCGAGGCCGGGGAAAATGGTGTCTGTTCCTGCCACTGTTTCATCTTTGGTTATGGATAAGAGTAACAATTGTGGCGGAGAATCTGGCACCAAGAGGATCACTGTTAAGAGAAATGTTGGAGAGGTTGGCTCAAGGGGTGCTGCTTCACCACGTGCTCAGTCTCCTGCTAGAGTTAATGGGAATGTGGCAAGTGCCAAAGTGTTGAGTGAGAATCAGCAGCACCAACAACCCTCTCTTAGCCGTAATAACTCCTCAAAGAAAGCAGAACATTCTCCTTATAGAAGAAACCCTCTGAGTGAGATTGATACTAACAGCAAGTTGCAACAAAACAAGCCCAAGATTGAAGCAGAAGCCATGCAGGTAAACATCAATATCTGGAAAGAATTGTGTTATTGTTGTGATTGAGCATTGATGTCATTGGGTTAAATGATGAACATTGATTGTTTCATGATTTGTTGTAATCATTACCTTTCCTATTTATTTATTTAATGTAACTAGGGAAGTTTAAATAATTGGCCTAGTTACGGTAATTAATAAAGCCTAATTTATTTTTCTAATTAGATTAGATTAATTTGAAAGCTAATGATTACATGGAAGCAGTAGTTGTCATTAGTTATTGATGGTATTAAGATAATCTTTTCCCCTTCCCACTGCAGCGACCAAAAGGGAGAGTTGCATTGGAGAAGGGTGTGGTCGTGAATTGCAAGACAAAGGAGCACCATGAGGACGGATCGTCGGATGGTGCTGTTGTGAAGACAACAGTGGTGTCATCAGGGGTTGACAACCTTAAACCACAAGGTATAACAAGAAGCAGATCTTCTAGAAGATCTAGAGACCTAGACATCAATCCTGAAGCTGTGCAGAATGTGAATCCTACAAACTCCTATGCCTCCCTATTGCTTGAGGACATACAGAACTTCCATCAAAAGAACACACCACCACCACCACAACAACAGCAACAACCTTCTTCTATTTCTCTCCCAGCTTGTCTCACCAAGGCTTGCTCTATCCTTGAAGCTGTTGCTGATCTCAACTACACCAACAGCTCCAATTTCTCTGGTACCTTCTCTGAGGACAGGAGGAGTCCATCCACTCAACAATCTATTAGGAATGAGTACTACGGAAAGAAAGTGCAAGGTGCCAAGGACCCTTTTGTGGAATCTGAGGTAGCTGTTGGTGATGATGTGATGGAACCAAGCCTGCACAAGTATGTAACAGTGAAGAGGGGTGGTGGGGTAGTAGACATGGATGATCAAGAGTCTTCAGGAAGCAACAGCTTCACTGTGAGCAGTAGTGGCCAACATCACTGGGGGGGTATTTCTTGCTCTTCATGGGAACCAAACTCTGCTGACTCATCAGATTGCTGGAGTTCAAGATTGAGCTCTAGAGAGGAGGGACAGAAAAGTTTGGAATGCAATTTATCCTCCGAAGGCAAGAAAAAGAGTTTGAACAGCAAAAGAAGAGAGTGTGATCATGAACACAGCAGTGGCATTGGACGTGGCAGGCTTGGTTCCGATAAGGGTGTGTGTGTTTGATGATGATGCATGAGTTCCACCTTTTGTGCTGTATCTCAGATATTCAACGAAGCAGTGACATCTGTATTTTCTTGTTTCTTCAAGGCCAATTCAAGTTGATCTCTCATATTTGTCATTAAAAATATACAACAACTAAATCTATTAATATATAATAATCATTAAAAATATACAACAACTAAATCTATTAATATATAATAATCATTAAAAATATACAACAAATAAATCTATTAATATATAATAATCAAAAGGTTCTATTATAGAAAAAATAAGTAAGATACTATTAAATGAGTTGTTTAGATATCTTTTTCCCTTCTGTTTTATGAACACTTTTTGTCACTCTTCCTCAACAATTTAACTCTTCGTGTCTTCCAACCCACGGAGGAAGATTAGACTCCATTTGTGTATCGATGAATTAAAACTTAAAAAGTCACGGCTTTGACTTGGTCTTTTTTTGTATAAAATACGAAAGGAAGCGTTTTACTTGTAAGCAAAAAATGATGCGTATTTTGTTGAGATTTAAGACTTCAGCGGTATATTTCAACCTTTCCGTTCAAGTAAAGAAAAATTAAAGAAATAATTTGTTATTGTCAAATGTTTGGATTATAAAATAATTTTATAATATTGTATTTTTGTTAATGATCTATATGATGTTGTCACATTTATTTATTGCGATAAAAAGTTTATATGCTCGAGAATTATTGCCGTTCAAAATCGTCAATTAAAATTATAATAATTTTGTTTAACATCTAATTTTTATATTCCTGGGGGGTTTGTTCACCTACTCACCAAGTTATCAAGGTGGTTAAATTTTTAGGACAAGATTTGAATAGATAGAAGATGCAAATTGTTGGCTAATGGAATTAGAGATTAATTTATAATTACGTTTCAAACTTAAAACATTAAGGGTATGACTACTTCTTTTCATTCACCAATGTCATAAAACCCCCAAAAAAAAAAAAAAAACTTTTGATTAAACTATGAATTGATTTGATTTACCAGAGATGATGGGTTCAAAAACAATTAATAACCCAAAATAACATTATATAATATTATTTCAGGTTCACAATTATATTTTTATTTTTCAAATTAACTATTAATATCTTTAATTTAAAGTTTATATTTTTATGTACAATAATAATAATAATAATAAATCTTATTAACTAATTATTTTGATTAATTTTTAATTACTAAAAAACAAAAACTTGTTTTTAAATATTTACGATATTTTCTAAATAACAATATGTAATAAATCAAGTTCCTTTTTTGAGTTGATGTGATTGAACACGCTATTTATTCTTTCTAACAAAAGAGTAATTGTTATATTGGTACTTCTATTACAATATTTTTTTTAGATATTTCCTACACATTTTTATATTCCTCTCATGGAACTTTAACTCTTTCTTTTGATTGGAGAGAATATTTATTAGACGGTGAATAATCACTTGGTAATTTTTAAAATTTTGCCAACCTAATACTTAATAATATATTATAACCACCTTTTTAGTATTTTTAAAATAATAAAATATATATCATCATTAAGTTACACGATTCATGACAGTAAGTAAGAGAAAACAATGTCATCCATAGATTTTAAATAATTATTATCATTTTTTTCTGTAATCTCTTAATTTTTATTTTTTGAAGATCTTCGTTGGATTATTTTCATATATTATTTAACTTGCTCATATTTTTCTTATACCTAAAATTTTGCGTATATAGATTGAACTCTTGTGGTAGATTTTTATGTAGCCGAGTAATTGACATTGAAAAGAAAATGGTCTAGAAAGGATAACACAGCTACGTCATGCAGATGGAAAACCAAGAATTAAAGAAAGATCCTTCGGCGGCATTATTTCTTATTTCTATCAATACACAAACATTGAATATTAAACCCTTGATGTGAATTAAGAAAGAGGTTTTTCATTTGCTTTGAACAGTATTAAACTTAATTTCTTTGAATAGTTTTTTTTTTTTGGTTTATTCTGATTTGACGTGTGTAAAAATATGATATAAAAAATAAATTGTACTAAAAACAATCGGCTGAATGATTTTTTTAACAAAAATTAGGACAAATTTAATGAATTCATAGTTTGAATACATAAAATAAAATGACAATATATGTATATATATGAAAAGAGGCGTGCATGTGAAATGTGAATGGGAACAATATTCACCCGAAAAGATAAATATATATTTTGGCCATTAGAGTCAACAATGAGAAGCTTCGAGCTTCAAACCATTCTTGATAAGCCATGACTGCCCAAAAACGTGTTTATGTCAACCTTTTTCTGTATATATATGTTATAATACCAAACAAAAGGTAAAAGAAACCAACCAAAACAACTTAAAACACAATTTCTTTGTGAGATTGTCGTAAACCAAATCGAGATGGCTGCAGACCCTCAGAAAATTCACCCTATCCATGATGTTGAGGCACCAAACCACCCTTCAGCACCCTTGGTGCCAAGAAGCATGTCCAAATCTGATGCAGGTGATCCAGAAAGAGTAGTGGTACAACAACAAGAACAACAACATCCCCCACAACAAACCATTCCTGTGATGCATTCCAGGCCACCCAAGAAAAGAAGAAGCTGCTGCTGCAGGTTTTTCTGTTGGTTAATAAGCATATTGCTGATTCTGATTGTGGCCATTGCCATCACAGTTGGGATACTATACCTTGTGTTCAGACCAAAGGTTCCAAAGTACTCAGTAGATGAGCTTAGAGTCACACAGTTTGATGTCTCTGACAACAACAGTTTATCAGCCACTTTCAACTTGACAATCACTGCCAGAAACCCTAACAAGAAGATTGGAATATACTATAGAGGTGGCAGCCACATAAGTGCTTGGTACGAGGACACAAAACTATGTGAAGGGTCTTTGCCAAAATTCTACCAAGGTCACCGCAACACCACAGTGCTTAGTATCCCTCTCACTGGTCAAACACAGGATGCTACTGGCCTGCAGAGTAGTATTCAACAGCAGCTGCAAGAAACTGCGAATGTACCCCTCAATTTGAAGGTGAAGCAGCCTGTGAGAATCAAGCTTGGGAAGTTGAAACTGTTCACTATCAAGTTCAGGATTAGGTGCAAGATTGTGGTGGACAGCCTTAGTGCTAATAGTTCTATTAGAATTCGGAGCAGTAGTTGTAAATTCAGGTTTAGACTGTGATTTTTATGATCTATATGCATATTCATTATACTTACGAGGATATATATGCTGATTGCATTACTACTATTTAATTTGTTTTACTTCTTTTGTGGTCTCTGATTGAGATTTCTATTTTGATGGATTTTTGTTTCCACCACCACTTTGAGATACCGTTCTTGTATTTTGATTCTGGTTTTTTAGCCACTTACATGTTATATATACTAGTATCCGTCCAAGGGACTATGTTTGATATCAAACTAAAAATCAATAATAAAAAAATTGTAATTTAATCAAATCATACTAAAGTTACGTTGATACATACAACATTGAACATAGAGCTAACATTGAACATTGAACATCGGATCTGGACGCACATCACACAATAGCTTAAAAATTTTGGATATATTTTTTTGTATCCCTATGTAAAAGGTAAATTTTTAACGCTGATTTATAGGTCTGATCAGTTTTAGGATATATATTTCATCTCCTTTGCTTAAAGATAAATTTTCTGAACAATGGTTTATTAATATTAAAACAATTCTGCACTATGTTTTAACTGTTCTAACTCAATGTCTAATAAGAGAACCTGCGTACTCGTTGTCATTACTTTATTTTGTCTTCTTTACCAACCACGATAAGTATTCAAGTTTAAATTGATTTCTCTAATCAGAGATAATTAGTTGTAACAACTGATTTTGATGTTAGGGAGCTCAGTGTATATAACTGGATAAATCAGCAAGATAACAATAACCAGCTCGTTTCGTACACCGATTCAGACCAAACTTTATTTAATCAAGCACTACTAAAACAATAACACGTTGTATATATGAATAGTGAATAGCTTAAAGCTTCAGAACTAAGTCAACAGGGAATTAATGAAAAAGAGACGTTTATATTATATTTATATGCTATTATTTCGTCTTATTAGTATTGGATTGTGTTATTATTTGATTAGCATTTTTTTTTATCAAACCATAATTTGATATAGTGATTACTAAAATGAATAAAATATACTAATTTCACTTCTCCTGTAATAAGCAGGCACCAAAAGAATAGGAAAGGTGCAGCGAAATGTTCTGTGACCCAGCAAAGGCATAAATATCATGTAAACATTGTTAAGGATTATCAGAGTTTAATTCGTAATATGTTATTAATATCAACACACCACATATATGGTATTCAAATATGAACTCTTCGTTACTTCATATGCTAACAAGGGAAACTAAATAGATCCTTCAGGAGGCCTCTCTAAGATAAGAGGAAGAGTGTCACCATATACGGCCAATAACCTCTTTTCATTCTCGATCAAAACGCAGACAAGTGAACAAATCAACCTGACACGCATCAAGTGTGCAGTATCTTTGAAGCCATATCTTTGGAGAAAGATCTCTGCTATAGCATTCCACCATGCCCACTTCAGAGGAAAAAAAAGGCACAGTATAGCATAAAATATTATGACAATGTTACCAAGAAAGTGTTAAAAGAGTGATGCTAACATTCTTCTTTTATTATTTAACTTAGTACCACATATTTGGAAAAATCAAACGACCAAATAAATTATGAAAACCTTTCATACACATATTGTATGTATTTAACCATACACGTATTCACATTCATTCTATTTCTCGCATAAGGCCCACACGCAACAGACAGAATACTCAATCAAAATGGATAAATGACCTAGTTATATAGTGCACCAATCTTCCTTCTATGTTATTGCTCGGTAATATGAAAAATATATATATATATATATATATATATATATATATATATATATTTCGTCTTTCCTCTGTGTAATGCCAAGTGATTATGCTTTCCAGCATTTATCACATCACACCCTTGTCATATTACTGATTAAAACATTATATTTATAACTTGGTACCACAAAAAGATTTGCACTCATCCATCATTACCTTCACGAAGAAAGAATGCTACGAAGAGAACCAACAGTGCCTCGTTTTCTTGCCTGCAGCAGGACATGTAAGAAGTTAAGGTAGAAACTCAGTAAGTCAAGATAGATGTGGACCAGCTCTCTTTTTTTCTTTTTTTTTTTTTAGGGGGGGGGGGGTTGGGAAGTGTATTAAACTCACCTTCTCATTATTAAATAGGTCATCTGCGACAGCTTCCATATTCTTTCGCCTTTTCTCATCCCTCACTAACTCGGCCATTTCATCATTCCCACAGTCAGAATCCCTGGTGAATAAAAAATATTAACATAACCTAGCACTAGGAGAAAAGGAATGAATCATAGACTAGCTACATTTTTGTTCTAAAAAACATTAAATTTAATATTATTCTTACTTGTATGGATATTTTGCAAATGGAACAAGATTGTCAAAGCTATTACCAGATTGAGTGTGTAACTGAAATTCCATTCAAAAGAAAACTGGTCAGGGTAGGCACAGATTTCATGAACTGTGACATCAATATTATGTTAAAATTTAACAATTGGTGCTGCATGAAGCAACAAGGTTTGTAGGTATTTAGATGTAAAGAAAAAATTCAATTAACTAAACCCTAAACCAAAACATATTTGGTTTCAATTTTCTACGATAAGCACCTTTTTAAACAAGAGATATGGTATGTAAACGGCATACCTTTCTGAAACATTTAAAATTTGGAACACTGCTGTTCGGTGCAGTGCTTCTGCTTCCATGTATATTTGTATCTCGAACAATTAGTTGTTGGCTGTAAACAATATCTGAATTTTCAGTTCCATTATCATCAACCTTGTCTTTCTTTACTTTAACACCATCATTATCAAGCCTGAAGCTGGTAGCATGTGATCTAACAGAAGTGCCATCCAAGGATGTTTCTGTTCTTGCACGTTTAGTGTCATGCAATCTGGTTAAAACATCATCTGTGGATTTCTCTATACTCTCATGTTTTCTCTTATCCAAAGTGTAAGAATCGTCATATAATTCTTCTGTTTTTTCATATTTTACATCATTATCGTTGCTGAATGCCTCGTTTGGGCGGGGTGATGTGGCTGTTTCAACTTCAGTATCCGAATCTGCTACTATTGTCTCATCTGTAGAGCATGATGACGAAACAAGTACTGCAACAATACAGAGCTTGATATTGTAACACTGAAGTCCAGATTTATTTGAGATAACATGCTAATATGTGTGCCATTGTCGAGATAACATGATAATTTATTTGAGATAATATGCTATTTTACATTCCTACAACTAGGGATTGTATTATGGAATCTCTGAATTTAGTTAGTTGATTTTCCCCTAATTGGATATTCATTTTCGGATTTGTGCCAAGTTTCTTTATAATACGTAATTATGCATAAGTGTGAGCACAAGTGTGTATTCAGTGATTAGGTGATCAACTAATTCAGAAATCTAGACTGTTCATATCTTCCAAAGTGGCATCTCATTACTACATGTGTTAATTTTTGTTACTTGGTTTAATGAAAAGAGATTTTGATTAATAAAAAACATAACAGAAGCTTCATCAGAGAAGATGCAAATTGAGATGGGAAATATCTTCAAAAGTTGGCAAAGCCATAATGCTATTTTCTCCCCCCTCCCCCCTTTCTTAGACCCAAGTCACACTTATAAAGAAATCATGAAAAAGCGACAACATAATCATATTAATTCATCATTAGTTTGATAATCTGGACATTGTAAGATAGACAATAATACATAAAAATAAATGGAAGTTACCTTCTGCGAAACATTGATCTTCTGTATGCATAAAACAGCATACAGATAACACTGAATCATATTAATTCATCTTTAGTTTGATAATCTAGACATTGCACATTAGACAATAATACAGTAAATAAATGGTCTCTGTGAAACATTGAATCTTCTGTATGCATAAAACAGCATACAGATAGCAGAAATTATTATAAGTACCAGCAAACCAAAATTAATTTGTTAGCCTTTGATTCAACAACAATTTCCCCCTTTATGTCCATGTCATCCCCCTTTTGCGGAATTAGTCTCAGCAGCAACAAACAAAAGTGTATAATAAAGTGAAGAAAAACATTAGTAATATTGAAATATTTAGTGATTTAGGTTCTTCATTTATGCAGAGAAGAACAAAGTTTTGGACTGTGCAAATATATTACTTGTAATATAGAGAATACTTACTGCATGGTGATTTCAAAATAGACAGATCTAGCTGTCCACTGAAAGCAGCACATATTATATCCATCTCACTAACTCTAGGCAAGGAACTTAGTTTATCGAAGAGATTAGACTTCCGCGCTGGTCCTCCTGGGATGACACAAGCCACACGATTATCCTCCCTATTATTTAAACCCTACAAGAAACAAATGAGAATGACAATACTGAAGTACATATCTTTCATGCAAAGATAATCCCCCAGAGAATATGTCTAATGTCTAAAACAGAGAAATCAGAGTTGTCTTTTGCTATTCAATGATGACCATCTTTCTAACTCTGGATAATAGTAGAAAGGGCAAGATAGTCACAACAACAATAGACTTATTCTACTGGATGAAGTCAACTACATGGATGGATCAACACTGTCATTGGACTTATAATGAAACCCATTCTAATAACTTTCTACATTGCCCTTTTTGTTCTCTTTCTACCTCTATTCACAGGGTTAAAATCATACAAACTACTCCCCTCACTAGTGCCAATAATGGCTTTTTTCACATGTGTCTAAACCACCTTAACCGATTTTCTATCATCTTTACCTCAGTTGATGCCACGCTAATACAGCTTAATATACAACCATTTTGTATCCTATATTTTCTTGTGTAGCCATATATTCATCTTAACATTCTCATTTTTACAAATCTCGATTTTTTTTTCATTTTGTTGCCCTGTCCCTTTAAAATTCAACATTTACTACCATATAAAATAAAATCTGTTGTATAATATTGTAGTGATACCATAAAACTTCACTTTGAGTTTGATACGCAATTTGCAGTCACAAATAACCCTTTATGTATTTATCTTTTAACCACCTAGCTTATATATCCTATGTGTGCTATCTTCATTAATTACCCATCATTTTGTGATATTGAACTAATATACTTAAACACAGAGCCTGTATGACATCTTCAGTTTTTACCTTTACGTCAATTTTCACCTGTTCTTCTTTACTAAAATTGCAATGCACCTTGTAATTATTCATATTCAAGTGAAAACCCCTTTGATTTCAACGTGTCCCAAAAGCTCAATTTTAATGTTATGTCTATCCTTAATTCCTTGTTCAAAACTATATCATTCAGAAAGAAAATATCATAAATGCAAATGAAAGAAATGAAATACATACTTGACTATTTGAACAAAAATCTTCAGAGGAAACAACTTTTGCACCAGCCACTTCTAATAAAGATTTAAGCTGATCCTGAAATTTATACTGCAAGCAAGAAAAAAATTAAGATAAGATATCTTAAATCGAGCTATGCTCCAAAAGTATCAAGATGGTTCCATCTTATTATAGTTATAAAACCCCCTGCATATTTACATATGAACATTAAAGTGAAGTTCAAAAAATTAAAGAACAGAAAATGTATCATCATACTTAAAAATAGAAATCTCAAAACCAGCTAGTATTATAATACTTAAATTGGGTTTAGAGTATAAAAGACTTTGTAAACAAGTACCGAATGCTCAGATTCCAACAAAAATGTGTATCCTTTCAAGCAATCTTCTCGGGTTGTGGGATCAGCAACTTTAATGGATTCTCCTCCTGATGACACTGTTGGAATATATCTGCTTGAGAAAGAAGAGGGAATAGAGAAGAAAAATAAGGCTTCTTTAGTTAATCTAACTGGTGTCAAAGTCATGAATATAAAGTTAGCATAATCAAACTCCAGAGTCAGAGCAATACTTACGAATGACAGCTAGGAATTTCGGTGCTAATGTTCCTTTCTTCTAAAAACTGCAATAAAGGGAACAAACAGTCACAAATTATGCTTCAAACACGAGAAAAAGTCCTCAACTGGTGGCAGACCAAGTCTTTCAATCAAATCTCTTACTTCCAGACTATAAATAATGTTTATGCTTGATGATTTGTTACGATAAATGAGTTTTATCATAGGTTGGGACTCAAAATACAAATTCTACCATACAATTCAGGATCTAGGCTTCTAGCAAACACAAAATAACCAGTGAACATGTAAAATGTCATACTTTCGAAGTGATCAAATCTAATTTTTTAAGTAGTTCAGATCATGAGACTCTTATGTCAAGAGAATGATCCACAAGCTGCATGAAAAGTTATGATCAAGAATTATGATTGTAACTTAATTTTGACGCAATTCTTACCAAACCATTCCTACAATTTAGGAAGGTAACAGAGATCTAAATTTATTATTCCTGTGAGTAAACCATAAAAGAATCTTCCAGTGTTGATCCATTACATCAGCAGTCCTTTTACATAACCTATTCTACTGTTGAACAATGCTGTCAATTTTACAAGATTTTAAAAGGACATTTTAAAAAATAATAAAACAAAAAAATACAACTATGATAAGTATGTAAGCAACTAACCTTCATGTTATCAAACTATTAACACATGTGCTCACTTGAATGTAATAGATTAATAAAAAGTTAAGAACCAATATGTAAACCTAAATGCTTATATACCTCAAGCCAATTTTTGAGAACACAGGATTTTTTTGCCACAACAGCATCAACAAGATCCTTCTTCAATGGCATAAGTTGATCTACCAGCACATGTGTGCACCCTTCACGTAAGGTATGAGTAATACTAGCACCTACATTGAAAGTATAAGTTGGTCAATATTCAGCATTCACATGAAGACAACAGTCTAGTGCTTCTAAAAATAATTATTTTTCCTGTTTAGAGATAAAAACACATTAAATCTATAACTCATGTCACACCATAGTGTGAAAATTTTCTGAATAAATTGAGAACTTATGTAGCAAGATGAAGATTTTTCTGAACATCCTATAATTTAAATTTACATAATACCAAGTTACTATCAAAGATATGCAAACTCTACTTCCTTTCCAATATACTTTCTTCTCACCATGATAACTAATGTTAGTTGAAAGTTGAAACTACCAAAATTTAGACATTTCATAATATCAAAAACTGCAGAACTAGCATGGGATAAAATAAATGCACGTTCGTAATGGTCTTTCAAAACCAATGGTCTCTGATCACACCATATATACTGCTTCTAGCACAAATTTCTATCAGCTAACTGTTTGTTTCTGTTGAAAGTCCTACATCGCCTACCTCATATCATTTGGTATGGTTTAAATACATGTTAGGCTACTCCACATATTGCCAATTGGCTTTATGTTGGAACCTTAACATGGTATCAGAGTCAAAGCCTAACATCTTTCCGGTTATTGTCATGGGCCAAAAGTTGCCCTTTAGTTGGGTCAAAAGTACCCTTTGCCTGGTCTGGCAGGCTTCATTGGAGGGGGTGTGTTGAAAGTCCCACATCGCCTACCTCATATCATTTGGTATGGTTTAAATACATGTTAGGCTAATCTACATATTGCCAATTGGTTTTATGTTGGAACCTTAACAGTTTCTTTACTAATTTTCAGTAAATGCGATATCATGTGCAAGTAACTACGTGTATTAAAGCAATTAGATGTCATGCATTCATGAATTATAAGAACTGAAGAACCTTCACATTTTTTTTCCACCACTGACCAATTGATGAAATTTTCTCTTCAAGGGATTGATCCATTTTATTTGAGGAACAAATGAAAAAAACGAGGGGTACATGGCAAAACCTGTCAGATTAAATTTGAAAGCATTTAAGCAGGCATTAGAAGAAAGACAAATGTAGGTATACATAGAAACCCAAATCTAGAAAAGTACTGCAACAGTATTTTCTAAAATTAAAAGTGAATGAAACAAAAGGAATAAAAGCACATTAAGAGATAGTTAACATACTTGTAGGTTGCAGTACCAGTGCCAAAAGAAACAAGGTCGCCATCCTCTAATGCTGTTTCTTTGTTTGGTAGCTCGTGAACTTTTTTCTTGGGCCCAACATTCTTGCTAATAAATGTCCCATACTTGGAGCAATCTCTAATATGTATACTTGGTGACAAATGAGAACGCTCATTTGGTAAAGGAATAACCAGGTTCATTGTATTAACAACTATTTCTGCATGAACCCTAGAAACCCCTTTATCTTTAGTGATTATCACATCACAACCTGTAAGAAGTTAGTTGCAAATTTGTACAAAGCATCATCATGATATCCCAAAAAAAGAATAATTCATAACAATCATTATATGAAAAAACTTAAAAATGGTGAATGAAAAATATAAAGCAGCAAATTGTCATAGCAATCCATTCTGAAAAGCCATCAGCATATCAATTTGCTCTATAGGAACAGAACAGTTTTAACTTTAAAATTTAGTATACATCTTTAGTTGCTTAATTTCAGTGGCATGAATTTTAGTCTTTTGTAGATGAGAGGGAGAGCATGAAGAACATTAGAGGATGTTGTCAAGAGGGATCCGATGATAAAAAACATCTCTAAAGCCTTGGTCTTTAATTGTGCTGAATAGCGCATGTGATCCATGCAACAGACCTCACTTAGTGGATAAGATTTTTTTGTTGTTGCATTTGCTTTTATTTCAGTTAATTGGCTTCAACTTTACCATTCCCTTATTAAGGGTTTTGTTATTGTTCCTGAATTTGGACAACGACAGGTATGGCTGTAGTTTATGATACAGACTACAAAGTGCTGGAGATAAAATTTATTCATAGGCATCGGCGCAGCATTTAATCTGGGGTTAAATGGTCAATGACTAGGTATAAGAGTCTCTTTGGTCAATGACAAGGTCTGTGTATTTGGATTAACTTATTTTGAATAACAATCATTTTTTTTTCTTGCGGCACCACGAGAGAGGGTCTAAATAAAAAGCAATTGTTTCCTAAACAATAATCCAAAACAAATATGCAGATAACCACCCATCAAACAGTAAAGGGTTGTGCATATTAGAAGCCCTGGTAAGGTAAGCTTTTTGTTAATGTTGTGCATGTTGGAGGTAAAATTCATTCACCGGCAAGCCTTCATGTTAATAACTTTAGCCCTCCTTCCAAATCCGCCTTTGACAAAAACACTCATACCCAATTCCTACATTTTCACTCCATCAGAGGTAGGATAACTCGCAATTCAAGAAAAGAGCCCCATGTGGATACTATTTTCAGAATTAGCAATGAAAATCAATCCAACAACACTTCAGCCACGGCGTCTAGACAATTTTTTAACCATCAAGTATGTGCATGAGGCTTCACTTTTGAAAAGTAATCAGAAGGAACCAGAAATTACAGTACCTTTTCGACCAACTTTGTAAATGCCAGTTTTGAAAATATAGTACTTATCTTCACCTGCCACACAAATTTTAAAAAAAAATACAATAAATTTTTTGGTACACCAATGGTATGTTAACAGACACAGTGACAGACCTATAACCCTCCAAAAAGAAGTAGAAAGATAAATAACAACTTCTTCTGAGAACAATATTCATTCATTGAACACAATGGATACCTGAAAGAGGATCAACGGGGAAGAGTCCCCACACCATGATTCTTCTTCTTGGTAAAACTCTGAAGCACTAAACAGAGAAGGGGAAAAGCTAACAACTGAGAAAGAAGAATTTATGGTCGCTATTCAACGACGTGCCGTTTATTTGCCACCTAAAACGACATCCAATCTATTAAGTTTACAAATAAAACGGCGTTTTTTAGTTTGATCTCGCTTAAAGTGTTTGTTCTCCTTGAAATATGATTATATTTTGCTTATGCTCCGCCCTTTAATTTTTATTGTAACTTTAATATTTGTTATTTTTTTAGTTCTTTAATTTTATTTTTTTACCATTGTAATATGTATATTATTTATTTTTACTCCTTATTATTTGAAAAGACTAATTAAAAAAAGAGAGCAATATATAAAATAAAATAAAAAGTATATGTATTTACCTGAATTAAAATATGACCAGAACAAAAATGAGAAAAAAAGTAAATATAAAAACTGAAAAAAAAAACAAATATTTTATTAAATTATACTGAAGTTGGAGATGATTTTGAATAATTTATATTTTTATTATGTAATGTCAAGTTATAGCTTCCAAGGCTAGTAGAATAAAGAAAATAGTATTTTCCAACTAATAATCGAAGAATAAATTTTGTTATTAATTAATTTCATTATTTTAATAAATTATAAATAGAAAAATTTTGTTACTAATAATATTATATTTATTGATAGATTTCGCTAATTAAGAGAAAGGGGAAAAGGAATCAGTGACTAAAAGATTAGGATTTTCAAACTTATTAGCTGTAATTGTTAATTAATATTTTTCAACGGATTAGTAATGAATATATTTTATTTTGAATAAATTTTGTTCTTATAATTAATATTTGTTTATTGTTATTTTATTCTTATAACTAAATGAAAGAGTAAAAAAATCAAATAAGAAGAATAATCAATATTAAATAAATTTTGAAAAATTATATATAAACTTAAGAAGAAAGAAGAAGAAATAATAATTAAAAGAAGATTAAAAAAAAGGTATTATTCAACATATTAGAAAAAACTAATCTTATTAGTATCTATTATTAAACAGCACAATAAGGATATACTGATTTTGACACTAATTAGTATTAATCATCATATTAACAATGAATTAATTTTGATATTAATAAACATTTATCAATATTAGCAACAAACTAATCTATTACTAACTTGTATTAACCAATAATAGATTAGTGGTAGACTAATTTTATGGGTAACTAGTATAATATAAAACAAATCAATATTATCACTAACAAATATTAATCAACATAATAATTAAGTAGTTAATTGTTATTTTTTAATAGATAAGGGATAAACAAGTTGCTAACTAATATTACCCAACAAATTAACAATCAACTGACTTTGTCTCAGACTAGTATTACCCGGTAGATTAGTGACCAACTAATTTTATCGGTAGTTAATATTTTCAACTTGTTAGCAATAGACTAACTTCTTGCTAACTAGTTTTATCTTATAAATTAGGTCAAATTAATTTTATTGTAATTAGTATTAACTAGTACATTAGCGACAAATTCATTTTGTCATTAACTAGTATTATTAAATAAAAAAGGTGAAATAAATTTGTTAATAACTAATATTAACAAACAGATTGATGACAAACTAATTTTATTATTAATTAATATTTTAACATATTAATGACAGACTAATTTATAGTTATCTAATATTATCAAATAGAATAGTGATAAAGTAATTTTATCATTAAATATTATCAATCATATTAGTGATGAAAATTAATTAAGTCATTTATTAATTTTTTTCAATCTATCGATGATGAACTAATTTGTTACTAATTAATATTATTAACAAATTAATTTCATTATTAACTAGTATTATCCAGCAAACAAACTAATTTAATTGTTAATTAAAACTTTTCAAAACAAATTAACTTAGAAATTCCGTCTTTAATTAGTATTATCAAAACATAACAGTTTAGTATTATCGAATATATTAACAATAAATTAAATTTGTCTTTAACTAGTATTATCCAACATATTTGTGACAAACATGTATTGCTGCTAATTAGTATTATCCAACAAATTGGGGTGAACTAATTCCATTACTAAATAATATTAGACAATAGGTTGACAACAAACTAATTATGTTACCAATAAGTAATAACCAAGATATTAGCAACAAAATAAGTTTGTTTGTAGCCAGTATAATTCAACAATTACCTTACATATTAGTGGCATCACTGCCTATGCAATAAATTAGCAAGAAATTAATTCCACCGCTAATGAATATTATCCAACAAATTAGAGGCACACTAATTTCGTCGCTAACTAATATTATCCAACATATTGGTAACAAACTAGTTTCATCATTACTAGTATTATCCAATAGATTAGCGGTAGACTAATTTCATCACTAATTAGTATTAACCAATATATTAACGATGAATTAATGTTATTACTAACTAGTATTATCAAATAGAATAATAATAAATTAATTATGTCACTAATAAGTATTAATCAAGATATTAGTGACAAACTAATTTCATCTTTAATTAGTATTATCCATTAGATTATAAACAAATTTGATCGCTAATTAATATTAACTAGTAGATTAACGAGGAGCATATTTTGTCATTAATTAGTATTATCAAACATAATAGTTGCAACCCAATTCCATTGCTAATAAGTACTAATCAATATATTAATGACAAACTAATTCCATTTCTAACAAGTACTATATATAATTATAACTAATTTCATCTATAACTAATATTATAAAAAACACTAACAGTAGATTAATTTCGTTGCAAATTAGTATTAATTATTAGATTTCATACAAACTAATTCAATCATTAATAAACTTTTTAATATATTAGTAATATCATAAACTAATGTTAAACTAATATCATAAAAAATTTAGTAATAAATTCAGTTTGTAGTTCATTAATATTTTCCAATAAATTAATGTTAAACTAACTTAAGCATTAATTATTATTTTTAATATATTAACAACTAACTAATCCTACTATTAATTAGTATGATCAAACAGAGTAATAACAAACTAATTAGTATTAACCAGTAAATTAGTGACTAGCAAATATTGTCACAAACTAATATTATAATTTAAAATAGTGACCAAATAATTTTATCGCTAACTAATATTATTAAACAAAAATAGTGACAAAATAATCATTGCTAATTATTAGACAAAATAATGACAAAATAATTTCATCGGTAACTAGTATCAATCAATAGCAACAAATTAATTCAATCCTTAATTAGTATTTTTTTAATGTATTAATGATAGACTATTTTTGTTGCTAATTAGAAAAATAGTGACAAACTAATTATGTTGCTAATAAATATTAATCAAGATATTAAAGACAAACTAATTTGTCACTAACAAATATTATTTAACAAATTACAGACAAACTATTTTTTTTATCTAACGTATTAGCCACGAACTAACTTTTTTAATGATTAGTATTATCTAATAGATTAGCGATAAAGAATTTTATCGATAATTAAATAATCAGATTAACGATAAACTAATTTAATTGCTAATTAATATAGTTGTGTAATTGATTAACGATCTAGTAATTTTGTCGTTAATAAATATTAATTAAGATATTAACGATTGACTAATTCCATTGTTAATTAGGATTTTCCAATAAATTAACCATAAAATATTATCCATGAGAATAATAATGTACTTATATTCTCACTAACATTAAATAATATAGTATTAGCCACGGTGAATACAACTAACTAGTATTATCCGATAAATTATTGACAAATTAATTTTGTCACTGACTAATATTTGACATATTATCAATAATGAACTAATACCATTAGAAATAGGTATTCACCACCACATTGGCAATAAACTAATTTCATTTTTTAACTAGTATCTTACATATACACTAATTATTATTTATCAATATGTTAATGATTTGTCGTTAACTAATATTAATCAACAAATTATTTACAATCTAATTCCAATATTAATTAGTATTATCCAATATATTAGAGACAATCTAGTTGTGTTGTTATCAAGTATTAACCAATGTATTAGTGACAAACTAATTCATTATTAATTGTTATTAACCATTATATTAAAAAAATGAATTCCAATACTAATTAGTATTTTTCAACAATTTTCGTCACTAATTAATATTTTTTTAATTCTAAATAAATTATAATTATTTAGTATTTTTCAAATTTTAAATTATTAATATTATTTATTTTATATTTGTATTAAATTATTAATATTAATCATTTTATATTTTAATAAATAATATAAAACTACCAAGGAAAAGATAATCCTTTATATAATATAAAATACAAAAAATTTCTCCTATATTTTGTTAACGAATATATTGTTTACGCGGACAAAATGATAAATATTTGTGTGGATAATTTTTAATTGTTTGAGATGATTCGCAAAAAATCAAAATAGTAAAAATCGTAAAATTATCAACAAAAATACTACAAAGTGGGAAATCAACGTAGTTGAAGAAAATTGCGTAGTTGTCCTTCAAAAATTAATATGAAATCATATATTTGTTAATAAAAGATTATAATAAAATTTTATCATTCACAAAACTACATGATTAAATAAAGTTTACTATTTTATTTTATTAAAAAATAAATATATTTTTATTAAAATTTAATATTTTTTAGTTAATATGTCAAATAAATTTCATATATAATTTCAAATAATATATATATATATATATATTACTAATTTTAATAATTTTAAATTTATAAAAAAATATATTCATTCACATTGATTCTTATATTTTATTTTATTTATTAATTGTTGTAAAATATAAATATTTTTTATAATATTAAAATTTTATTTTATATTAAATTATATATTAATTTTATTAATTTATATTAAGATATTTCAATACTTTTTAAATTTATTTTATTATTTAATCTTTTATAACTAATCAAATCAATTTTATTTTTTTATCCAAAAAACTAAACTTTTAGTTTCCTTTCTAATTTTGCACCCCACAAATTCAATCCAAATACACTACGATGGTATTACCCAATGTAGTTGAGACAATTTGTTAATTTAGGAGAATTAATTAATACTGTGTCGGAATGGACAGCATTTTTTATAACTTTCCTGTCAGACATAATGTAGGAAGATGTAAATTAAATGCTTTGTCAGATCTCCCACTATTTCCTATCTACCAACATTCTTAAATAAGAAAATAATAGTTTGAGATCCACGTTAGTTACTTACAATAAATAAAAACTATTTATATAAATAATTTTTAAACCATTTATTTATGAAACTTATAATAAAATATTATTTTTTTATTCTTAAATAATTGTAGCTAAGAATTTTTTTTGGAGATATCTTAAACAAATATCTTTTGAACAATTTTTAAATTTGAGAAAATATTAAAATATAGATACTTTTATTATTATATTAATCAAAATGATTGTTGAATGAGTATTTTAAGAAAGTAGGTTGTTTATATATCCTTGAACTATTTAATATTCTATTAGTTTCTTATTTCTTCCCATCATGTTGTGATTATATATATATAATTTCTCTTCAAAATTAAAAAGTTATTAAAACTTGTCATTAAAATTAATAAAAGGATATATAATTAATTACTGAAAATATTTAGATAAATAGACTAACATTTAAAATCATAACTTATTAACCAACTTAATTTTGAATTTGTAATAACAAGATTAATTCGTCTCTAACCCGAAAGTTTAATTGCATCTAAATCTTTACAATCCACATACCAAAAAATGTACTTAGGAGAAAAATAGAACAAAACTTTATAACTATTATCCCTTTTTTTATTATTTTAAATTGAAAAGTTTAAAAGCCATTCCAATATTTTATGTATTTTAAGAATTATTTTAAGTATTTTTGTAATTTAAAGACTAGGTATATAATAGTATAGTTGGAACAACATTTTGTTTTTATAACAATTGAAGGAAGAAGTTTATGACGAGCTTTAAATATTAAGGAAATAATTGGTGTTTTCTTTAATGAAAAATCATTCATCGATTAAAAACACACGTGTGGAAACAAAATCAAACCTGGCGACTCAACAAACATAACTCACCCAAACGGAGAATGAAACAAGGGAAACCAAATCCTAGAATTGGACTTGTTTTACAACAATACTCTCTACTCTACTCTACATGCGACTGCGTATAGCCAAGGACCCCATACCGCGCGCTTCCTTCCTCAGCACGTGCTTCAGAATCTTCCCCGTCGGCGTCTTCGGCAGCGCCTCCTTGAACACCACCGTCTTCGGCACCATGAAGTGCGCCAACCTCTCTCTACAAAACCCTACCACCTCCTCCTCTGTCGGGCGCCGCTCTAACCCCTCCTTCAGCTCCACAAACGCGCATGGTGTCTCCCCCCAGAACTCGTCCGGCCGCCCCACCACCGCCGCATGGCTCACTGCCGGGTGGGCATATACCACGGCCTCCACCTCCACGCTGCTCACGTTTTCTCCCCCACTTATTATCACGTCCTTCGACCTATCCTTTATCTCCAAATACCCGTCCCCATGCAAAACCCCTACGTCCCCCGTGTACAACCACCCATTTTCTCTTATGCACCTTCTTGTTCCTTCCGAATCCTTCAGATAACCCATCATCACGCACGGGCCTCGCACCACTACTTCCCCCGACGTAGCCCCGTCACGTTTCACGCTCACGCCACTCGCCGGATCCACCACGTCCATCTCCGCCACCGCCGCCGTCCTCACCCCCTGCCGTGCCCTCAACCGCGCCCTTTCCATCGCCGGAAGCCTATCCCACTCCCTCTTCCACGAGCACGACACCACCACCCCCAGTGTCTCCGTCATCCCGTACCCGTGGCTCACCACAAACCCTAACTCCTCTGCACGCGCGAGAACTGGTGCCGGAGGAGGCGACCCTCCCGTGAGGACATGAACCGGGTTTTTCACTGGTTCAGTTCTCGTGAGCAGCATGTTGAGAACCACCGGCGCGGCGCACAGGTGCGTCACCTTGTAAGACTCGATCGAACGGTAGATGATCGGCGCGTTGATTTTACTCGTGCAGACGTTGGTGCCGCCAACGGCTGCAATCCCCCACACGAAGCCCCACCCGTTGGAGTGGAACATCGGTAGTGTCCATAAGTAAACCGGTTGTTTTGGTACGCACCAGTCCATGAGAGAGTCGAGGGCCATTATGAACGTTGCCCGGTGGGAATGTACCACGCCCTTGGGAGACGACGTCGTGCCGGAAGTGTAGTTTAGGGTTATTGGGTCCCACTCGGAGTTGGGCCGGAGCCAGTTGAAGTTCGGGTCACCTTTGCTCAAAAGGCCCTCATAGGTGTCGATTGCGTGCGCCACCGCGACCGCATCCGCGTCGTCTGTGATAAGGACGAGGGAAGGACGTGGCGTGGTTTGGTGAAATTTGGAAAGAGCACTGAGAATAAGAGAGAGTGACTGAGAGTGAACGAAGACAAGTTTTGATTCGCTGTGACGCAGGAGCACGGAGAGCGTGTGGGGATCGAGACGGAGGTTGAGATTGTTGAGAACGGCGCCACACATGGGAACTGCAAACTGAAGTTCATACATTGAGGGAGTGTTGGGGGAGAGAACAGAGATGACTTGGCCACGTCCTAAACCGATAGAAGTGAGGGAAGAAGCGAGTTGCAGGCATCGACGGTAGGTTTGGGACCAGGTGAAGGAAGTTTGGTCGTCCAGGATAGACCGAGAGTCGGCGTAGGCGACTGCTGCCCTTTCCAAGAAGGTGAGTGGAGTGAGGGGTACTGAGTTTGCAGGGTTTGGGGTTAGCTTATCCATAGATCACTTATTCAGTTTCGACAAGAGAATGAAAGTGTGTGATGGTTATGTTATTATGTTAGGTGATGTGGTTGTTAAATAGTGAGTTTATGGAGACTCTCTTAAAAGCTCTGTATATTTTAAACTTCATCTTTGCTTTCAATTGCTTGAGCTTTAGAGGATTTTTCTACCTTTACGAGCATTGTGCCTATCAAAGGAAAAATATATAAGTTTTATAAGTATTATTACGTGATACGTGAGTTGTTTAGAAATGAAAGATGTCTTTATATGATTGATAGGCCAACATGGAGGAGAGTAGATACCTAGCAATTTGTTACATCGCAGAAGATATCGTCAGCAACTGGGGAAGTTATTTATGATATTGGTGGATATGCAGAACAAGAGTAACCATAACAGAAAAATATCTAAGATCCGTAGAGAACAAAATTGTCTTAAGGGAATCTACCACTTATAATGAGATGTAATTTTGAATTATTAAGTCAAACAAACAAAACACCTCTATCAATTATATAAAAATTCGTTAATCCATCATCACTATAAATGGTAATGACAATATTATTCTGTAAGACTTGATGAACAGCGTTTTAGCATTTAAAAAGTTGTATGACATAGAGCTATGAAAGATTATAAGAATTTCCTCAAGTTTGATGAATATTAGTTATTAGTAATCTATATGAATAGTTTATATTAATAGTATGAATAAAATAAAAATAAAGAGATGGAGCAGTGAAGTGTAATGGTATGAGACTGAGGTAGTATTGTTTTTGTGTAGTTGAGATTCATTGGAATGTGTGGAGGGGAGAGATGTGAAGCAATAATTGTGGTGTAGTGTTAGATGTATGGTCCCGTGTGGACTTTAATGAAGATCAGCATGAGTCGTTGCAATCGATAATGTGAAAAGGTTTTGCCAACCAATCACGTGCACTACAAAAACTAGGGGCGTTGGAGGCTTGTCCATTCTGGTGTTTCTTACTGAGTCATCATATTTTTACATCACATCAAAATATTTATTATATAACTTTGCTTATTAATATTATATTTATAGAATGATTGATTTAAAATAAAATTAGTTAAAAATTATTATTTTATTAATAAATAAAGTTGTTGAGCCTGTTAACAATGTTGTGAATTTATTTTTTTTCTGGTTACTTTTTGAACTTTCTTCTTTCCGTATGTCATTTAATGATGGATATCCAGAGGCTTCTTTACAAACTCAATTTTACCTTAGGTTAAAATGATCGAAGTTGGTGAAACAATACTTGAAAACACCACGTTAAATTGTGTTGGGTAAGTTTCAATATATTTTTACTAATATAATTCTTTTTTTGAAAAATAATTTTTAAATATATTATTTATAAAATAAATAATTTTAATTTAATTATTAATTTAAAAATCAAAATTTCTTTTCAAGCTTTTCAAGAAAAAACTGACCATCAAAGATAAGCAAATTAATATTTAAGTTCTACACATCAATCTTAATTTCATTAAAATTTAAACGTGATAAAAAAAATTATATAAGAGATTGTATTATATATTATATATACTAAAATTTCCCTCTTTAACTTTGAGTATCTAGAGGATGTCGAATTAATTTCACCTTTAATAATAATATGATTTCAATATATATCCATTTATTCTTAATAATTACAACCACGAACATAAGTTCTCACAAATGGATGTATAATGAAGAGTTTATATATATTATGTTCTTAATAGTTGTGACAAACAAGTTTAGACTTCTAATTTGTGTGGTCTGAAAATATATTAATATGACCTGATCATATGTTAAGTTAAGAATTAATGGGTTAATTTTGGTTTCATTGATTTTTCTTGTAATTATTGACATATTTGTACAAAATTAATTAATTAAAAAATATTTAAATAAAAATATATTTTAAAATTTTAAATTTGATTTATGAAATTAGTTTTAATTTAAGATATAATGATATATTTATTAAATCTTAAATTTTAAAAATAAAAAATAAAAATTTATTTTTTATTATCATTATTTATTTTAAATTAAAAATAAAAATTAATCTTAATTATTAGATATTGAATAAAGTAATTATTAAAAAATTACTTTTATATTTAATTTTAGAATAAATAAATTTCTGTCAAATTAATTTATAATATATATATATATATATAATAAAATAATATTATTTTGATTTTTATTTAAGAATAAGAATTATTTTATAAAATTTGTCTGGCCTAATCTATTTTTTAGTTTTTCAAATCAGACTAAACATATATTCACATTCTTACTTTAAATCTTACATTATTTATATATATAAAAAATTATAATATGCACCAAAATGGAGTGAATATGACTTAAAAAAAAAATCATGCTACACCACTTCTTAAAAAAAAATACAATTAAAATTGTGCTACATAATTTTTTTATTTTTTTATTAGTTAATGATATTCGTATTCGTATATAAAAATGTATATGTTTGAGATCCTTGATCCGCTTTTGAAGTCAAGATGATATCAGTTATTACTAGAAGTTTGATTTTATTACAAAGTAAGATTAAAACCAACGGATATTGTAGTAAACACAAAACAGTTCTTCTTATTGCATGGGGATTTTTCGTGGTTTGTTTAAATTTGTACCCACATCTAAGATGAAGACATTTTATGGTTTAAAAGGCCATTGGAGCTCATACTATTATAGATAGCGAGGACCATGCCAGCACTGGCTTATATCATTAAATGTGTTACTTCTTCTTGCCTTTCCCTTAGTGTGTAAGATTAACAGAATATAATGATTAGTTCTATTGGTACAAGCTCTGCAATGTTTTAAAATCTATTCAGGATAAAAGAATCTCCTTTTTAATGTAAATATTAAAATTATTAACTTCTTAAAATCACATCTGAAACCTCAAACCAAAATGGCTAATAGACTGGATATGAAACAAAAAATAAAGATGTTGTCGGTTGCCATTTTCAACTATTGTACTTTTTAAAAGACAGGCTTAGGAATCTTTCTATTTTTGCTTGTTGCATTCAAAGGGTCATCATCATCGTGGAGCATTCTTCTTCGGCATTTAACAGGTTCTACCAATTTAACAGACTAGATTATGTAGCCTGTACCATGCATGGATACTTTTTTTTTTTCTTTCTATTTTTATAAAACATTTTTTCAATTTTGTACGGTTTGTTTATGATTAAATTAATCTTTATCTATTATAGTTATATATTGTAATGTATAACATTTTTACCAACAAAAAAAATTAAAGATTTAAATTTTATTTTAAAATTATAATAACCTTCAATATTATTTTGATTATGATGTTAAAAAAATAAAAATAAAAACTTGAAAAAGTTATAGACTTCAAATAAGAGCATATTTAGACACACAAAGGTTAATTTCAATCTTTTTTTATGTAATGAGTAAGATACAAGTTTATATTTAGTCTCTTAAATTTAATAAAATATGATTTTAAAAAATTATTAGTCCTTCAGTTTTTTTTTTATTTAAATTTGAAGAATTAAAATAATTTTTAAATTAAAAAACTAAAATCAAATTACTCTAACTTTAAGAACTAAAAACATAACAAAATTAATTAGTGCAATAAACATTGTCTTCCAAATAAATATCTGTTCTAGCATTTTCCCATTATTTTCTCCGCTATAAGTTTTTAAGCCTTCCAATTATTTACAAGAATATTGTTAGTTTTAATTTTTTTATTTAATTAATTTATAGGTTTAATATATTAGATTGTGCAATAAACAGAGGATGTTTATTTTGAATTATTAAAATTTATAATAAAAAATAATGTTAAATATATAAAAAATTTGTAATTAAAATTTATAATATATAAATATATAAATTTTTTATGGTTTCTTTGTCATATATAAATAAAACCTAATAAAAAAATTGATGAATCAGAATTTGAAACCATTGACTGGGACAGACATGATTGGGCTACAACAGCACAAACAAGGCCCGACGTACCTCATAAATTTGTAGAATATTTTATCTTACCGAAATTGCTCATTTTTCTTCTTTTCTCTTTGATTTTGTGTAACATTTTGTTTTGATATTTTTTTCATAGTTGTATTGTATCTTAAATAAATTAAAGTTGTTTGTTTTCATATTTTTAAAATTGAGTTTTTATTTATATCATATAATCTTTTATTTTGTTTTGTCCTTTAATGACATTTTTATTATTATTCAATTGATTATTTTAAAATATTACGATCTTTTTTAGTTCCTTCAGATGTGAGAGAGTTATTCATTGGATTATATTATCTTATGAGATATGTACATATGTTATATATTTAGTAGATTCTGTTTATTAATATTTGTCCATAATTTGATAAGCTAATAAGGTTGTTAATTTTTATAATGATTCTCCCATGCATTACAATTTATAAATATACTTTAACCCATTCACCAGGTTGTGAATAAATTGGAAGTATGGTGACTTGGTTCACCCTATTATTCAATTATTCAATGTAGATCAGCTTTCCCATTAATAGGTTTTATGTAAATATATAATAAAAATGCTATTATTTTATAATTTATTTGTCCCAAAGAATCAAACTGATGAAATACAAAAATATATTTTGAAATATTTAAAAATAATTACGTACATAAATAAATTGTTTTTCATTAAAAAAATGATAGTATGACTTTTGTTTTGATTTAGAACATTGAATAATTTAAAAAACTTGCCTAACATTTATGGTACATCTTACAAGGCCCACCACGAGTTGCCTGCATACCAAATCTTGTCTAACTCATTTCATAGCATGTCTTGTCTTTTCTTTTATTATATTGAAGGTTAAAACTCCATAATGTTGTGAATTTAGCTCGTCTGAATTCTATACATTAAATTCTTAAAGAAAAAGGGAAAAATAGTTCATTTAAAAAAAAAAAATCTTAAAAGAAAAAAAATGTTAAATTTACTTTTTCTTTTTAACATTAAATATATTTTTTTAAAATATAATCTAAGGACATTAATGTTATAACGTGAATATTGAAAAAGAAAAAT